CTTCTTAAGCGTTGTAGCTATATAATTTCAAACATCCTCAAGAGCTATAACACATCTGCAGCAGAACTGGATATGAAGACAAAATTGCAGGACAGGAACACTTTAATTGTCCACTAAACTTCAGATTTCCTGCTATGTTTTAAAAAACTTTATTTGTGAAAACCTTCAGCGTGGCGGACAGCTGGCCGCCTTAGGCGGCTAGTATTAAATAAAAAAAGTTAATTTTGCGATATAAAAATTGAAAAAATAGGTAAAATAAACATATTTTATATTTACATTTATATTTAACCTATAAATGTTCGTATTAATGATAAATTTATCCATGCAGAATTAAAATAATATACTCAAATTCATTTAAAATGACCTAATTTTACTGTAAACAAAGTTCTAAATTATATTATTATTCTTTATTAAAACTAAATACGAATGGGTAGACTCGCCCCGCGAATTCTGGCTTTTCGTTTACAACAGCAAAACTTACATTTTTTTAGTTTTTTTTTTTTTTTTCATATAAAATTAATGTAATCTTAGATAAGTTTATCACTTAACCAAAGTGAAAATAGTAATAATAATAATATACTTACGGAGCACCAATTAAAACTGATTTTCAATACAAATCTCTCAAAAGACGTTTGAACAGGTCGGTTAAAAAGACACCAAATAAATAAAAACGAATCAAACTACTACAGCGCCATCTACCTTAGAGTCTGAACTAAGTCCTCCGTCGATAAAAAAATTTTTATTTGAAATTTAAAATAGTGAAAATTAAATAAAACTAAGATGGGTAGACTCGCCCCTGGATGGGTAGACTCGCCCCGGTTTACGGTACACTTCTTAACGAGACTTATAATTATCAAAATAGGGAACGGTTTTCAGCTCTCTTATATTAAAATTTTTAGTTTTAAAATTTTTAAAATAAATGAGTTTAGGTTTATATTTTGTAACATTCAATCTCACTCTAATTTTTTTAAACTTTTTACACCAATTTAAAAGCAAACCTTTAAAATAAATATCATGAGAAATGTTTTTAATACATTAGGAAATAAATCGTCAATATTTAATGCAGAAATACTGAGAAAGAACTCAGGAAAAAACGCTTAAAATCTAGAAAAAATTACAATTTCGAAGAAAAAAAGAGATTAATTTTGCAAAAGAGATTAGAGATTAATTTTGTCATGTCAAACTTCAACACTGTAGTTGTATTTCAGCTGACAGCAGATCCGCTCATTTGATATATTTTAATAAGAGCTTAACAGTTAAAAATTCTAGAACTAATTTTTTTTATTTATTCAATTGTACTTCTTCATTTTTCTATATTCCACCTTAATCGAATCGTAGTTTTTAAGTCTTATAGCTTTGAATAGAAAAACAAAATGTAACGTTAAAAAAAATAATAAAAAACGAAAAATGTTAGAAAAAATATGCAGAAAAAGCAATAACTTTCTAACAATTAATAACTTGGAAAAAAACTTTATTAATTTCATAAACATGTATGACCCTTTCAGAATCTCAAATTTCTACTCTATAGTTGCCTTTTTGTGGTCTGTAGAATGGCCCACATGGTATTTTTTACTTTAAGTTTAAGATTTGGTAATTCTCCAACTATTTATCAAATGTTATATATTTTTTTATCTTATCGTAGTTTCTGCTCATTTTTATTTATTTAATTAGCTAAGTTTGATAGTTTGCGTACATAAAAACAAAACCAGCAATAGAAGAGCTTAAGATCTAAAAGGTCTTTATGATGTAGGAATTCTCTTTTATACTCTTTAATATGGAAAAAATTGTAAAAAAAAATTGTTTAAAAAAACACGTAGCATGAGTAACTTTTTGAATGTGTTATTCCTTTATGCTCTTAACTGTTACTAAAAAATGTTATTTTTTCTTTAAGAAAATAATTTTTATTTTAAAAAAATTAACTAATGCATAAGGAAAATGGTTTGGTTTTTCTACAAAAAATCTTACTGACGAGATAGAAACAGGGAGGGGGGGGAGAGAGAACGCCTCCATAAAAAGTGACTAATAATAACATAATAACATTTATAAAGAAATAAGAATTCCAACAAAAACATTTATATTGTATTGTGGGAATTCGTCAAAAAATTTCAAACCCTAACTCTCTATTTTATTGAATTAAAATAATTTTCAAAAAAAAAAAAAAAAATACCCTATATTAAATTATTTGAATCTTCCGAATTTTTTACAATCTTTTCCTTTTTATTTTTATTATTTTAAATCTTAGTAGGAAGAAAAACCAAAAGCTTCAATCTTACCTTGTCAGAGAATCTTCCAGCGAAGGAATAAAGTTGAAGTCAAATTTTTCCCTTTATATAAACTGATGGTTCACTTAAGCAAACATTGCATATTAATAACCACGACATCCAATGCGCAATTGAAATTGAAAAGTTTAATCGACTCACTGATTTATTATCAGAAAATTCAAATATAAATGATATTCGTGACTTCTGTCACGAATATCATTTATTTTTGTAATATCAGCTGCAAGTATTTTAACCCTCCTGGCCTCCTCCGTATTAATCCGTAATAATACTCCGCCTCTTTAACCCTCCCCGTAATAACTCGGGCATGATTTCTACACGTAAAGCGGCAAGACGGGAATAACTCGGGTTGCCTGTCTGCCGCTCTAGCGGCGTGCCCAAGTTTTTGTCTGGTTCTGGCCCAAGTTTTTTCCTTCCCCTACGACCGCCGACTGGGTACTAATCTTAAAGGAGTAATTTAGGTAGAGAGAACCAGTCCCCCATCCCTCGTTGCAAAGAACATCGTCACGTGATTCCTGGACGACTTTCCCTCCAGTAAACCCAGTCTTTTACTATGGAGGTGGATTGATGAGCTGCGTTTTGAACTATAAAATTTAAAAAAAATGGTAGTATACTGCTGAGCATACGGGTGTGACGAAAAATTCATTAAAGGAGGACATTTTACATTTCACAAATAAGATTTTTATTTTTTTATATTCACTTATAAACATTTATTTGCAATTTTTATGTTCGCATGTCAGGTTATGAAATGAATTTAATTGGTTTTCAGCTAGCAAAATAGCTATTATTTTTTTATATTTTTATTTAAATTAATAGATTATAATGTAGTTAACATTTATAGGCATTTTCATTTCAATTAAATTTCATATTGAGATATATATTCTGATATTTTTACTCCTTTTTTGATGAGCACGTGCATCGAACTTGGCGCATTTTTTTCACGCCAATGTTTACAAACAAATCGCATTTTATTTTCGCTCTGTAACTTATAATGATGCGTTAAAATAATTTTTTTTTAATAATTTCAAGTGAATTTAATTATATATTTTAGTTGTACAGACTTAAAAAGATATGAAAGTACATTTCATGTAAAAAATAATTTTTTGGATCGAAAATAAAATTATCTTTTAAAAATTACGTTTTTAAATAAAATTTATAAGTCCAAGAATACTTTTTTTATTATATAGGAAAAATTGTTTGGATATTCATATTTATGTAGGAAGTTTTATATTTATTACTGTACATTTATTGTTCAGGAAAATATTAACTAGGTTATTATAGGTTATATTATTAATAATAGGCCCTATTATTAAATAATTGTTATAGTATTATCAAACGAGTAGCTATTTATTATTATTATATGTATTTTATTTTGATTTCTAGAAATAAAAAGTGAATAATTCTTTTTTTTTTTTTGAACATTAATTAATTCTTTTAATATAAAATGTTAATTAAGTCGAAAACTATCAATATTTCAAACAACAGGTAGATAGTATGTTCTTATATGGAGTTTCGTAATACTTTTTTTAAATAAAATAAAGTGACGAATAACAAAACCAAAATTTGTTATTTTAATTTAAATTATTATGTTATGTTAACTCACTAAAATTTTAATTGTATGAATTGGTTGAAATAAATTATTATCGATAGGCAGGCAAACTAGAATTCCAAATTGTGCAGCATGTAAAAATATTAATATTCATTTTAAAAATAAAACAAAATATTTTGTTTTTATCAGAAAAATTATGAATAACACTAAAACCATAGAAAAGTTATGTAAAAGATGAATTGCATACCAGTGTATATATATATTAATAAAAAAATTAAAAATTGCCATTTCAGTTGCCCTGTTAAATTTTTTTAAATTATTATACGTAATCTAAATAAGAAAAATTATGCATTGATTAAAATTAATTATAAAAGGCTTTCATTGTAAAGTATGTATAAATGTTAGGGAAGTATGATTTAAAAATTTAACTAAATATTTTTATAAGAAAAAATAAAATATAAGTAAAGTATTAACAATTCTTAAAGTAAAGCATTCTCACAATAGCCCGTTGAGTGCCTGAAAGTCATGAAGGTTAAGCTAGCACAATTTACTGATCAACAGTCATAATAGTGACAATGTGGTTAGCATTGCGTACCGCCCGCCTTTACTTCATGGACAAGCTGACCCATCAATCTTAACCTGAATTAATAATTCTTCTTTGTACTAATAGAAGACGCACATTTTCTTTTAAATTAATTTGTTTTTTAGTAACAATTTACATAATTATTTAACTCATATATAAAATTGCTAATTTTTTATTCACACATATTCTGCATTTTAAAAATCAGATACTAAATGTGTAGTGTATTATGAGATTTTTTCAAATCATTTCAGTTAATAGTTTCAACTTTAATTTAGTTTTAAAAAAATTGTTATGTATTTTTCAGCATGTTTCTTTATTATTTTATTTGTTTAATAATAATTTTAAAACCACCCAGTATTAATAGCTAACTGTTTATACATAGATTTCCTAAAGATGAGATAAAACAAAAAGTATGGGAAGTAGACGTCCACAGAGAAGAATTCATAGCATCCAATAATAGTGTGTTATGTTCTAAGCATTTTACTGCGGATTCATTTGATGGACAAAATTCTTATCTCTTATGACCTTTTGACAAAAATAATTAATACATATAATCATTTTCAATTGTTTCTTTATATTTTATATACTTTCAAATGTATCTTCGATTCAAAAAATCATTATTTTTATTTCATTGTTTGGTAAAATCATGCCTAACTAATATGTTATTAGCTTTTTATGATTAAGCAATTAAAAGCATATAATTAAATGTAGCGCACATGTTATAATGTATTTTTATTAGAAAACTTATTTCTTACAATCACGAATTAAATTGGGAAAGCATTCAAAATAAAATAAAAAAAAGAGAAAAATCTTTATGTACTCTTAAAAATATTCCTGTACGATGCGATCGCCAGCTATGAATTTTTCGCCAAAAAGGTAACCCCCATCTTTGAACAAGTTTTCCGAGCCCAAACAATAGACTGGCTCTCTCTACCCTAATATCTCCTCTAAGGCAGCGGTTCTTAACCTATGGGTCGCGACCCAAAATTGGGTCGCGAAGCATATTTCTTGGGTCGCGCTGAGTCGAACCAAAAAAGTTAGTAATACACCAAATAATAAGTAATACCAACACCTCCTAGAAGAAGTCATTGTGGCTTACTCAGCCTAGGCTTAATGAGGTACCTGGGTAACTCCATACCCTTAATCCTCGTTCAGAATAATTAAAACGGTTCATAATAACGAAGGACGGAACAGCGGCTGCTGAAGAGCTTTCTCCGACAGCCGAAAACGGGCGTGGCTTATTGCCATTGCGAAGCGCATTTTAGTAACAAATTTTGTCTTATTATTAATAGTGGAGTGATCAAGCTGCAGTGCGTATTGTAAAATTGTAATCACCCTAATAATGGCAAAACGTGAATACAAGGAATCATTTTTAGAATTAGGTTTTACTTGCATTTATGATCGAGGAGTGAACAAGGCGCAATGCGTGTTGTGCAGTGAAATATTAAGTAATGAATCAATGAAACCGAACAAGCTTAAAAGACATTTTGATGCAAAACATAAAAATTTTTCCTTTGAGGAAAAAGATCGTACTTTTTTCGAAAGAAAAGAAGCCCATTTAAAAAGACAGCGTTTGGATGCACCAAGTAGTAGTGATTTTATAAATTCTGCCAAACAAGCTACACTTGCTTCTTTTCATGTGGCTTGGCATATTGCAAGACAAAAGAAACCCCATAATATTGCTGAAAAAGTTTTAAAACCTGCTGCCATTGACATGGCACGTATCATGTGCGGAGATGAAAGTTCAAAGAAATTACAAAAGATACCATTATCAAATGATACAATTCGTTTACGAATTAATGACATGTCATTTGATATTAAGAATCAACTTATTTCTGCTATAAAAATTGCTGGTTTATTTAGTATTCAACTGGATGAAACGACAGATGTAAGTAAAGATGCTCAACTCATGGTTTACGTGCGGTATCCAGGTTTAACAGATATATAGGAGGACATTTTATTTTGCAAACCAATGTCAACAACAACTAGAGGTGAAGATATTTTTCTTATGGTCGATTCGTTTTTTAAAGAAGAAGGGTTAAATTGGAATCAGTGTTTCAGTATTTGCACTGACGGTGCAGCTGCCATGACAGCATCTCAAAAGGGATTTTCGACAAGAGCAATACAAATGAATTCACAAATTATATCGATTCATTGTTTGTTACATAGACAAAATCTTGCCTCAAAAAAATTGTCACCCGAATTATGTATCGTTTTGGATGAAATTGTTGCGGTAGTCAATTTTATCAAATCAAGAGCTCTTAACTGTAGAATTTTCCGCGAACTGTGCTTCGAATCTGGTGCAGAATACGAACATTTATTATATTATTCTGAAGTTAGATGGCTGTCCCGGGGCAAAGTTGTTCAAAGAGTATTATCATTACGGACAGAAGTCGAATTATTTTTGAGAGAAAAGAAACACCCATTAGCATCTAAATTCTCCGAGTTGAAGTGGATTACTCAAGTTGCTTATTTGTCAGATATTTTATTTGAAATAAATAATCTAAATACGTCTATGCAAGGACGTAATCATACTATTATTGAATTAACTGAAAAAATTACATGTTTTAAAAATAAACTCAAATTATGGAGAAATAAGGTTGAAGTAAAGAAACTTGCTTCATTCCCGACTCTTAATTTACTTGTTGAAGACAATAATATTGATATCACAGATTTTGAAATACAGAAAATTATTATTAATCATTTAGAAAAACTAATAGCAGACTTTGATCGATATTTCCCTGCAGACGATGTTTTCAAATATAATTGGGTTCGAATGCCATTTAATTTTGATGTAAGTGATTTGCATGAGGAATTTGTTAATATTAATCAATTTCAAGAACAATTAATAGAAATACAAAGTGACCAAGCACTTCGATACAATTTCTACAAAAACACTGAATCTTTATGTGCTTTCTGGTTAAAATTAAAAACCGAAAAGCCAATAATTGTTAAAGAAGCCCTAAAAGTATTATTGCCCTTTTCAACAACATATATGTGTGAGGCTGGTTTTTCGGCTCTGTGTGTAATCAAAAACAATTACCGGAACAAGTTAAATCCTGAAATAGATATAAGGTGCTCCTTGACAAGCATTCAACCGAGGTTTGAAGATCTTTCAAAATGTATTCAAGCACAAGGTTCTCATTAAAACTGTATGACTTGCATTTAAAATTTAAAAGACTTAACATATGTATTGATATTTCTTTTTTTTTTGGAATAAGTTAAAATGTCAATTATTTTCAAAAAGTTATAAATATATTTTAATTTGGTCAATAAAAATTATTAAAAACACTTGATTATTAATTAAATTTTCCTTGGATCGAAAAGTACTTTTGTTTATCTTTATTATTAAAAAAATAAATAAAAAATTTGTAAGTTAAAAAAAATCATCATCGTAGGATCGAAGATTTTTCAAAATTACGATTTAAAATAAAGCAATGAAAAAATTTTGACATTTTTTTGGGTCGCGACATGAACATATTTCTCAAATTTGGGTCGCGGTTTAAAAAGGTTAAGAACCACTGCTCTAAGGTACTAATTGAGAGGTGGAGATAGCTGTTATCATAAATCACTATAACAGAGGAGTTGTGAGTTTTAAGAGATTATATTACATTAGTAGTTAAAATGTACAGATAGCAAAAGCTTTTGGTGAGGGGAAAAATTATTTTAACATTTTATTTTATTTTATTTATTTATTTATTTTAATTTTTTTTTCATTTGCTAATACCAAATCAAACATTTCGTTGCTTTCATTGCTGTTTAATTTTTATTATTATTATTTTTTTTTAAATTGAAGTTCTTCATGGTAAAATTAGAAAAATNTGGGGGGGGGGGATATATTATCGAAAACTACTTTTAAGTTTGTTTCTTTTAATTAAATATTTGTTTATTTTGAATAAACTTTGAAATATCTCTATTAATAATGTTCCGCATTTCATTATGAGTACTGCAAATTAGATATTTTGATAACGTTCATTAATTGAATTTTACTTTGCGAACTTAATTGGAAAAGATTTTAACTTAGTTTAGATTTTGACTTATTTTATTTCTTTCAAATTGCCAGAAGGTACACCTTACTCATTTTTAAAGCTCACTAATTTTGAAATATTAAAATTTTACTTTGCAAACATTATTTTAATAATTTTTCTTTTCTTCAAATTATTTTAAAAATTTTCAAGCAAAGAAGGAAATGAAAAAAAAAATAATAATAATAACAATAAATAAATAAATAAAGAGAAAATAAATTAAATTCTGTTTTATTTTCCTTCATGTTTTAAGCATTTCCTTTAAATTATCGCATCTGATATTTATACAAAAATAAAATTTGAAAAAAATATTGAACAGAATACAAAAGACACTTATTGAATTTTTTAAAAAATAACTAGCGCATTCAAAAATCTTTTTTCAAAATGAAAAATCTTATGACTGCAAAGAAACGAGACGAGATGAAATATCATTTTGAGTTTAAATTAAATTAAAAGTTTTAAGTTTACATAAAAACCATATAATAAAGTTTATTATATGTAATTAAGTTTATATAAAAAACATTTTTCCCAACTAAACTGATTACTTCCTGTGACAATTTTAATATCAAGTGATACTCTAAAGTAATTTATTAATAATGTGAGTAAAATTCTTAAAACTAAATAAGATACTTCTTTTATTGCGTCATAATAAAGCAATTTAACTAATTGAAAATTAGCATGGATTTCGGATAGTTCTTATTATTTAACAAGAAATTACTCAGTTGTTTACTTCTTCCTCATAAAGTTATCTATTATTTAATAAACTAATATTGTTCGAAAATGTATCTAAAACAAACTTCATTTTACTATAAGAAACAAGACTAGGTAAAAGAAAGAGTATAGAATAATTTTTATCTTTTAAAAATTTTTTTCTGTCAAAATTTTGTAATAATACTATTCTTATGAATTTGTTTCGAATTTCGGATTGAATTATAAACAATACATATTAAGGACAATAATCAACGGAAAAGGCAACGCCAAGTTAGATCTTTTTGTATTACACTGATTTTTATTTTTACTTGACCAAAAAAAAAAAAAAAAAGGAAAAGCAATCTATTATTTATTTAGTAAGGTGTAAGAAATTTTTCAAAAATTAATATTAGATAGATTAAGGAAAATTATTTTTACTTGATAATTTAGCCAAATAAAAATATGTTAATATAGCATTTCGAACGGTTTAAAAAATGTTTAATTTTTTTACTTATGAATTAACTTTCGAAAAAATTTGACAACAAAACATTTGTTTCAAATATAATGGTCCTGCAATTTTGGTTATGGTTAAAATTCTCGAAAACATCGTTGAAGGTGTCACAATAAAAATATCTGCGAGATAAAGTATGGATAACTTTTAAAATTATACATATATAGACTCCCAAAAGCTGAATATAGACCATTGGTTCTCAACGGGGGCGGTGGGACTATGCTGAGGGGCGGTGAACTTGTTTTGGGCAGTAGGGGGGCGTTGGGTATGTTTTGGGCGGAAAGGGGGCGTTGAGCATGTATTAATTCAAATTTAATTTTAAAACTTACAAATAAAATTATTAAATAAAGATTAATTTAATAAAAAAAATTATAATGAAGAAAAAAAAGATTAAATTAATATAATAAATAAAGATTATCCTATACACTATTTGAAACAGCAATAAAATGAACTTACACGACACCTATTCTTCGATCCCAACCAACACAGCTCAGCGCATGAGCCAGTAGTTTTTGCCTCTGACTCATTCAAGCCATTTGGTGGAAATTGCAGTACATGCGCTTTCAGTATGAATGTTTGATTGGACCCGTGTTTCTTATAATGGTTTTCGTTAGCTTTCTTGCGGTTTTTTTCCCCAGTTTCGATTAGATCTCATAGTTTATTTGGCCAGGTACGTACGCGAATTAGTTCTTTATAGTATCATAAATTATTTATTAATTTTGAGAAATAGTTGATTTTCTTTCATCGTTTGTATTTTGCTGACACCAACAATGTCGGTTGACAAAAAGAAGTGTCATCAATACAGTGTCACGTACTTGAAGTTGGGATTTGTTCAATTACTGTTGAACTCTCAATTACCTATGTGTTTACTTTGTAATAAAGTTTTATCTAATGAGGTAAGGAAATCTTACCGTTAGCAAGAGCATTTGCAAAAAAACTAGATATAGATTTGTCATTTTTGACGTACGTCTTTTTTCACGTTTCTGAAGGCACCTTCGGTCTCAGGGTTACTAGTAACGTCATCACAAAAATGCGACATTGGTTTGATCGCTTCTTATAATATATCAAAATTTATTGCTAAATCTGGGAAAGCTCAAACCATCGGAGTAGAGTTGATATTGCCGGTTGTCAAGGAAGTTTTAGAAACAGTTTTACATCATCCAATGCAATAAAAAACTATTCCATAAGCAACGATTCAGTGTGGCGACGAAATGATGAGATGGGTGAAGACGTTGAAATTTCTTTAAGCAAACTTTTGATGTCCAACGAATTTTCCCTTCAAGTTGATGAATTTACCTTGCCAGGTAATGCAGGCTTTACTGTAGGCATAGGTCCGGTTTGTAAAAGAAGGGAAAATTATTCAAGATATGCTTTTTGCAGGAAGCTTGATTGTAGATATCAAAGGTAAATCTATTTTTAGTACTGTCAAAGATTATTTTAAAGAGAAAAACATTCCTCTTGCGAATATTATGTCCATTGCCACTGATAGGCTCCTGCAATGGTGGGTCGACATCGTGAGTTTGTAGCCCTTTTGGAAAGGGAGGTACCAGATATTTTAGCTGTTCACTGCGTGATTCACAGACAGTATTTAGTAAGAAAAAATTTCAGTGACCGTTTGCAATATGCCATATCTGCTGTGAACAAAATTCACAGTAATGCTCTCTAAGATCGATTATTTAGACTACCGTGTAAGAAAAGCGATGAAGAATTCAATTGCTTGCAATATACACCGAGATTCACTGGCTTTCCAAAAGCTTCTGTCTCAATAGGTATTGGAATCTTTTCGACTCTGTGCTTGAGTTCCTCGAAAACAGAAATGTAGCTCTAAGAGACAGATTGCTAGAATTTAAGAAAGACTTTGGCTGATTTATCTATAAAATTTAATGGCATTAATTTACAACTTCAAGGCGACGAGTTCAATTCGATCCCTACAAAATAAGTTATTTTCGCCTTTCTAAAAAAACTGATTTTGTTTTAGCAGAATTTTGGTTGGAATGAGTTCAGCCATAGAGGCAAAATTCTCTCTGATGATGCACATGCATAAGAATATTGTCAACACCTTGACTCTTTTCACATGAACTTTTCTGACCATTTTAAGGATGTTTTGTTCCCTCGAAATCCCTCAATGGGTTTATGAACCCTTTTATAAGTATTGAAACAGCAGAGGTTCAGATTTACGAGGAATTGGTCAAACTTTTAACTAATGAAACTTTGAAATGATGATCGTCTCACAGAATTTTTACTTAACACTAAAAAGACTGAAATACCTATATTGCTCAAAAGCAGTCAAAATGACTGCATAGAATAACTAATGAATAAAGAAAGCATAACTAATGTATAAAGAAATTTGTTTAAAATAAAATTTAATATTTTTGTTATTATTTTCAGTTATATAACAAGTTATTTGTAAATATTAACAATAAAAACACTATATGTTGTACAAAAAGTCACAAAATTCTAAGAAATTGTGTTATCATTGTTTTTCTAATTGAAATTAAAAAACAGTCAAATTGATTTCCATGGGCAATCTAGTGTTAAAGGTAACATTCGTCTCTATCTTGGACTGTAGACTATCGCTAAAAAATTTTTAATTGCCTTCCCTGCCTCCTAACTTGTCGAATGTGGATTCGTTACGGATCTTGTCACAAAAAGAAGAAATCGACTCGAAATTGTGCAAACGTGGGTATTTGCATCTTCATCTCACGAAAAGTATTGAACCGAGCGTTAAGGAATTGGTTCTGAACCATTAAGTACAATCATCCCACTAACATAGTTACTTGAATGTTTCGTTGATACTACTTTTTAGTGTAACAAAATTATTTCGGGTGTTATTTAAATTATCTAATTTAGAATAAATTATTCTTTCTAAGCATAGGTTTCTAAGGTTTATTTTTTTTTCATTAAACGTATTTATTTTGATTA